GCATGAAAAAAAATCATGTAAATGGAACAAATGGAACAATGCATGAAAAAAAATCATGAAAACAGAACAAATGGAACAATGCATGAAAATGCATGAAAACGGAACAAATGGAACAATGCATGAAATTGGAACAGACCTTGTGAAACTAGGAAAGTTCCTGAAGAACTGAGACATACATGGTCACTCTAAATATCTATTAAAAAATAATCCAGATTCCTAATCGCCCTGCAATCAGTTGCCAGGGCGTTTTTCACTGGAAAATAGTGTGTGCGATGGGTTAGAAAAGTAAAAAAAAAAACACACCTCTCCTCAACAACAACAGCACTATATGAGAAATCATTCACGTTCACAGCAATAAACATTTGAAGCACAAGTCACAGGTCTAACTGCAATCCTTAGGACTAGAGGCTTGTTCAAATCCCAAAGTGTAGTGTAATGGTGATGCTTGACCACAGAATAATAAGAATGACCCTCTTTCACGCTCATGTGAACTGACCTCTGTCATAAATTACTCGATTTTTCTTGCTTAAAAGCAGACTTCAGCTCCGTTATTAAGACCTGTAATTGGGCATACCAGGCACACCACTGATGTTATCCATCATCTCGAGTGCTTCAACGCTTCAAACAATGGCTAAAATCAAAGAGCCTGTTGACATAAGCCATAAAATTGCAGGCATAACATGTGTATTTGGCTTGATGCATCATGCCGTCTTCACTCTTTCTCCGCATGAAGACAGGCCTGGTGTACTTAGCAGGATCCGCTATAAACCTGCAGGAATAAAGAGAACTTGCTCCTCTTGGACTTGCATGCTAATTACTGCATTTGTCATGATCAGGAATCAAAGTGACGCACGCGCGACCGGAGCGCTTGAGTTTCCTCGCTCGTCCTCTGAGGATCGCCGTGTTCATTAGTCTTCTTTAGATCTCCCCGCAGGCACTTGAAGAGAAGTGCGAGGCTTCAAGTGCTGAGTAAAGTGTTATACGGTGTGCTGGGAGGGTATGAAAAACGGATTTCTGGAAATAAATCCAGCACGTGAATGACGTCCCACACACACAATGCCTTCTCAAATAATCTTGTCACTCAAACGCATTACGAACGCTTTCAAAATACCGTAAGCAGAGAAATTAAATTGCTATTTGAAACGAACATTACATTTTTCTACAAACATTTTTAAAACCCTTTCAGAGAGTCTGACAGCGTTATTAAATGAATAGCTCACCAAGAAATTAATCCTTGCATTGATGAAACCCCAATTATATTTTGTGGGAAGTCTCAAACCCCAGACTGGCTTCTACGGTTGCATCATAACCGAAAATAAACACATTTTTATCCTACATGCATCAAACGAGACGTACGGAGGCGTAATGCATTCACTTGAAGAAAGAAAATCTACCCTGTTTTTCTGAATTAATTAGTTATTTTTTCATGAGAAAAAAAAATTGCTCTCTTTTTCTGAATTAATGAGTTAATTTTTCATGAGAAAAATTTTTTTTCTCTGTTTTTCTGAATTAATGAGTTAATTTTTCATGAGAAAAATTTTTTTGCTCTGTTTTTCTGAATTAACGAGTTAATTTTTCATGAGAATTTTTTTTGCTCTGTTTTTCTGAATTAATGAGTTAATTTTTAATGATAATTTTTTTTGCTCTGTTTTTCTGAATTAACGAGTTAATTTTTCATGAGAAATTTTTTTTTGCTCTGTTTTTCTGAATTAATGAGTTAATTTTTCATGAGAAAATATTTTTTTCTCTGTTTTTCTGAATTAATGAGTTAATTTTTCGTGAGAAAAAAAGTTTTTGCTCTGTTTTTTTCTGAATTAACTCGTTAATTCAGAAAAACAGAGCAAAAAAAAAATTCCATGAAAAATTAACTCGTTAATTCAGAAAAACAGAGTAGATTTTTTTTTCTTCAAGTGAATGCAATATGCCACCGTAGTGACGCAACTCACATTTTAGAGGTGGAAAGTATTGTTTGCTATAACCTGGCACATGACATCTCTTCTTTTTTAGACTAATGTTTTTTGTGCATTGTCCCTGATCAAATAAAGAAATAAACTAAACTAAACTTAAATTTCAGTCTTTTCCTCTCACAAAACCATTGCATGGCTTCAGAAGACTTTAATATAAGGGGCCCTATCTTGCACCCGGCGCAATTGACTTTGTACACCGACGCATTCGTGTTTTGCACCCGCGCAAAGCGGACTTTTCCCTCCAAAGATGCACGCCGGCAAACTAGGGAATAAACTTGCGCTCCATGGGCGGTTCAGCGCAAAAAAGGAGGCGTGTTTCGGCGCAAACATTCCCTGGTGCTATTCTGCAGTTGCAGAAAACAATTGCGCCTCTGATCACCTGTTCACCTAGTCTGAAGTCAGTGGGCGTTGCGCGTAAATTCAGATGCTATAAGCGCGCATGCTTGGCCAACGCGCGTGTGAACAACGCGCATACAATAGAGAGCCTAAGTCCCGCCCCTCCACTTCCGGCTCATGGGACCTTATTTCGGAAAAAATATGAATGGTAGTCAATGGCGAAAGACAACTTATCTTTTTATTCCGTCTGAACTGTGACCTCAATTACACATATGATTGTTATAATTCTGAAAGTCAAAAACGTCCCAGTTTGTCATACAACAGAAGAGTAACATTTGTAGTTTTATGTGAAAATCGCTCTATGAACTACATCTCCCTGGAAGAGAAACGAGATCCGCTGCTCGTGTGTGTGCAGTCTAGTACAAAACACTCAGGCATGACGGCGTAACGTTACGATTATAACGTAAGACTGTAGAAACAATGACAGACAGCCTCAGTAAAGTTAGCTTGATTCATTGAAAGAAAATATGCGCCTTTGGGGTTTGTAGTCTTTGTAATTACGTATTTTCACAGTCTTATACCTCAACGGTTTTACATCAAACTGCAACTATCTTGATTGTAAAATGTATCTTTTAAATTGACAAACATCATATGTGTAATTCAGGGCATAATTCAAACGAGATCAAAATATTTGTTGTCTCTCGCCATTGACTACCATTCAATATTTTTCCGAAATAAGGTCCCATGTGGTCGACCGAGCGCCGAGATCCGCCCATAAAGTTACTTGCGCTTTGCGCCTGCGTTTTAGATCATTAAAATATGGCCCATAGACTGCTGTATGTTTGACATGCATAAGCTTTCAAGAGCAGTTTGGAATGACTAATTTTGATTATGTTAAATGATGACAGAATTGTAAATCATGAGAACCGATGCATTTAAATATGAAGAAGTCAAAACCGGAATATTCCATCCACAGTGTTGTTATTATTATTATATCAGTGATGCTCTAAAAAACACAACAAAATAAAAAATCTGGATGACTGGAATCGGATTTGGCTCCATGTTGGGATAAAATACAACCTGTCTCCTGTCACGGAACTGACCTTCCTCTGAAACATCGACTCCTACATGCAGATGTTCACCATTATCCAGACAAAGCCAAGCATTTCACTCTTTTTGTTTGTTCATCGGAGCGTTAGACCGCCTCACCTGCCGCCTTTCCACACGGATCAAGCCACAGCACGGATTTATGGACGAAAGTTCACGAGAAAGTCCACGTCTGCTGACTTATGAGCTTTTGACAAATGTGACTCACACAGGAATGTCAGAAAGTGAAATTGATGGCAGCGGCGTTTCATAACGCGCACAGGACCGCCTGGAAACCAGCGCTTGTTTAAAAACACCGTTTATATTGGCTTTTTATAGGCGCTTTTGTTTTGTTTTTAAAAGAGGTAAATTGTAGATTTGGTGATTAGTGACTGCAAGTATGACTCACTTTTACCGTTTCGTGGACCAAAACAAGCAAAGTCGAGATAATTGGTGTGCATGCGTTTTTCCCCCCTCAACACAATCCGTTAAAGCAATAGTTCACACTCGAAATGATCAATTTGTCATATAAACTCACCTCATTGTGAATGCCGTTGAAAGCTTTGTTTCTTCTTTCCTGAATCCAGCACTCACTGTTGACGTTTAACGGCGAACGTCATTGGTTGTCAAGTGTCACATGATTGAAAATACGTGTTTTGTTTTACCTGCTTCGTATTTTTGTCGAAACTGTCGTACTTTTTTTTCTTTCACGAGTCGAAAGTTTCATAGAACAGCATTTATTTGAATATTTTGTAACATTGTAAATACTGTCAATTTTGATTAATGTTATGCATCTTTGCTGAATAAGAGTTTTTTTTTTGAAAGTGTGCTTAAGCGAATTCATTTTTTTTTTTCAAACAAGCAAGTTAAGAAAGCAGGATTGTTTATTTGAAACTGTTTATCGGTTTTCACATTGCAAGAAGAGACAGACAAGCTTTGTGGCCTCAGTGGCTCATGTAATATTCATGAGATGTTTCCAGGGACGACTTCAGGTGAAAAGCCCGTTAACTCACCCCCACATACACACACTCCTACAAATTTACATATTCATCTGTTTTGCAAACATCTCACTATATGTCTTAACCTTGCTTTGACATGAATCAGCAGCATTTTACTTCGGAAATACCAGATCTTTATCCTACATTCTACTGTACACACACACACACACACACACACACACACACACACCCGCACGCATGCATGACGCACTCACGGACACAAACACAAAATCATACACACGTAGGTGATTTCAGGTTTTACTATACTTGTGGGGACATTTGGTCCACACAATGTAATATAAACATGAACACACCTAACACACACACACACGCACACACCTCTAACACACCACTAACACACACACACACCTCTAACACACATACACTCACACCTCTAACAAACACTCACGCTTACACCTCTAACACTCCACTTACACTCACACACACACCTCTAACACAAAAACACACGCACAAACTCACACACTCACACTTCTAACACACACTCACACCTCTAACACACGCACAAACTCACACACTCACACTTCTAACACACACTCACACCTCTAACACGCCTCTAACACACAAACACTCGCACACACACCTCTAACACACAAACACTCGCACACACACCTCTAACACACTCACACCTCTATCACACCAATAACACACACACAGGTACAACAGGGCTTAATTTGCATGGGAAAAGCCGGACTGGATTATCCGGGATTGGACTGTGATAAACTTTAGCACCAGTGGCCATTTTTTGGCGAGTCTTTAAAGTGTGAAACGGACTTTTTCTGTTTTTGATGTCAGCAGCCAATCAGAATCAACATGACATCGGTTTCCTGCTCTAGCATGATCAGTCACATGGTTATTTACAGCTCAGGTGATTGGCTAAAACTTCTACAGTCCAAAACCTGCTAAATCCACTACCAGTTTCTTGTTCTGTGATTTTTAATAGACCCTTTTCGGTTTCTTTTATACATTTTAAATTACAACATTATACTTTGTTATATTACCTTGGCATTAAATGACTCTTTTTTAGTCACAGATACTTGTTTTCTTTTGCTATTGGAGCAAATAAGAACCTAAAACTGATACTTTTCATTGTACTTTTATAATGTGAAACGTGTCCATAGACAGATGAAGCCCTGCTGACCTGGTTACAGTAAAACAACAACAGACAGGAAGAGATCTAGTCATTAAAAGCTCTGAAATCAACAAGAGAAAGGCTTAATGTGCAAAACAGCAGAGAAATACAACATTTCATCCCCCCCATAGTAAACATATATGCATTCCCAAACTCACCTTAAATTTACAAATCAGTCTTGTACTTGCAAGCGATGATAATGGTGATGATGATGATGATGAATTATCATCAAAAAATCAAATCGTCACCGGTACATTTATAGCTTAACGTCAGTGTGTCATATGTAAATGACGATGCATAGTTACCTGGTTTGTTTTGTTTTTAAATTATTGCGATATTGCGCATTAGACCCAGTGTGAGGTCATGGGGGAGGGGTTAATGATCAGATCCGCCAGAGGTCAAAGGTCAATAAGGGGTAAACAGCACAGGTGTGTGCGCAGTCCTGATTGGCCCAGGAGCAGGGCGGAGCAGCTGAGTCTGAAAGAGGGCGGGGTTAAGGGAAGGAAAGGCGGAGCTTATGGCGGCGGCGACGGTTGCCAGGTGAGACGGCATTAATCTGGTGCTCAGCGGCGGGCAGAGATCTTTACCCACTGACATCTTCACCTGCTGGAGAGAGAACACGTAATTAGATGTTATACACAACCGGTCAAAAGTTGAAATCAATTATTTTTGCTGTTCAAATTTAAGTCACGATTTATTTGTATAGTACTTTTTTCACAATAGAGAGAAAATATAATGTAAATAGGTTTGATAAAATTGAGCTGTGGCCTATTATTAAAAAGTGGGGACCAATGAAACCAATGCATTTCATGCCCATTACTCTCACCTACTTTAACTTTAGGGTTTAACCCTCTGGGGTTCTTCGTTTAACAGTCACACTCGGGAACTTCAGGGCGGGATTCATATTTAAAAAAGAAAATCATATATATATATTTTTTTTACTTGTTTTTTATAATATTTTTTTCTTTTCTTTTTTGGTGCTTTGAGAAAATTTCAAAAATACAAAAATTTGTAATTAGTATTAATGCAATAATTATGCCCAAATTTTCCCCCATTGAATATAATAGAAAAAATATTTTAAAAAAATATATATATATTTTTAAAGCTGTATTTCATTTTGGAGTCAAGCCTAGGCCTCATAAAAACAATTTTTGATATTAGATGGATGCCATCTCATGGACAAACTGAGCTTTTTAAAAATGCACAACACAATTTTTTGGTGTGTTTGTGTATAAAGGTGTGTGTGTGTGTGGATGTGTCTGTTTTGCACTCTTGATGTTTTATAGATTCACCCCTTCACTGTTGTGTGCTTTTTTTCAAGATCGTTGCTGATTTATAGATTGTACACACAAAAAAAACTCAATATTTTCACATTTTTGCCAATTTCCCATTCATTTCCTATGTGGGTCATTTTTGACCCGAAGGTCCTGAGTGTGACTATGTTTTTTTTCCGACCACTTAGACTTTTCAAATCCTGTCCCCATTTTTTTGGGGGTGTTCATATACCAAGTACCATTAAAGTCACCAAGTTTCGGACCATTCCGATGAAGCTACGATTTTTAACATTTTTTTATTTAAACGCTTCGGGTCATCACCCAGAGGGTTCATCACAGTCATAATTATGAAGGAGGTCCTTGGAAAACATTATAAGGGGTGCCTGACTGCAAAACCCAAGCGATAATTCACTATGTTCATGTTGATCCAAACTCATATGCGGTTGTTCACAAAACTGTTTTAATACAACAACAGATCACAGTGACCACAACAGTAGTGGAGTAATGCACAAGCCATGTGACAGATCGGTGTGAGGAAGGCACTGGAAATCTTTGAAATAGCATTTGTTCACATAATCTTAACAGATGCTGCTGTTGCATGGAGCAAATTGGAAAAACATAACAGCATACGGGATTGGAACGACATGAGGGCGAGTAAACAATGACAAAACTTTCACTTTTGGGTGAACTATAGCTTTAATGAATGGCCTTGATGTGTACAATTCATCAGGATGTGTTATTCCAGAGGAGAAATGTGTTTTGATAATCGCTCATCAATGTGTAATGACTTCCTCCGCCTCTGAAATGTCTAATTCTGCTGACGTACTTCAGGAAAAGACAATATTAATTGAGCAGCAAGTTCTGAAGGATCATAATGCAAAAAAATGCAGCTTTTTTCACATTTTAAAATATATTCAAATAGAAAGCAGTCATTTTAAATTGTAATAATATTTCACGATATTACTGTTTTTATTTGATCAAATAAAAAAATGCCTTGGTGAGCAACAGTGACTCGTTTAAAAAATATTAAAAAATCGTACTGCTAGTTTATATTGTAATATTATATGTTTATCATACTCAAAAAATAATATTAACCACCATCACACTATCCAAACATCCAGTTTCACTCAGAAATGTGCACATTATTGAACATGGCATCAATCCATCATGCAACGTCTGATTTTGAAGCGCTATTAAAGCTGGAGTCATATTTGCATCACCAGCGGCACAAAACAGAACGGCCTTCATTGTCTGGCCACTGCCATTGAGATTAATGGGAATGCTAACAAATATTAAAGATATTAGCAGCTTTTACTCTAGACTGCATTTTTGAATAATTAAATGTACTGTTTACTCCAGTACATTTGTAATGAGTAATGATTGTTGCATTTTGCACGGCACCTAATTTTTCATCTACAGTGCACTGAAGCTACTATATCTTGTGTGTTTTGCCCTTACTCACCCAAATCTACTCTCTGAATATATAAATGCATTAGCAGGTAGTTGTTAACCATGTAAAAGGTGTTTTTGTGCACGTCCTGTGCAATTGAAAATTGCATTTTAACATTATTTTATTTGCAAATAGCAGTGAAAATAGCAACTTTTTTTTTTCTTTTCAATAAATAGTTGTTAGATGCTATTTATACTATTTGCACCTCAGTGTTGTTGTACATTAAATGGTATGCAATAATAACATTGAGTGTAAATTATTATATGTATTAACATTATTAAATGGATGCCACCGTATTGAGACAGCTAACCCATAAACACTTTATTATTAATGTTAAACACACGCTAGACACTTTATTTCCACTTTTCGAATGTTTTATGCCTTTCTGATACGTGATGAGAAAAGAGAGTAGAGAGTTTGTCAAAATGCGGATTCGAACTTTATGCCACACGTATTATTGACGATCCAGTGGCGTCCGTAAAGTTGTCTGGCCCAATCAGACGTCAGTGGGCGGAGTTAATGTAAATAGGTTTAGTCTGAATAGACACTTATTGAATTTATCTGTTATATTGGTTTATATTGGCCTTTTTGAGCACTTAACTGAGACGTAAGTGTTTGTAGGCGCTGTTGTGTCTGAAAGGTTTGGTTTTATTTTGATTTTAGAAAATAATTAGTCTATTAGTATTAGTGTATTAGTATTAGTGTTTTTCACAAATACAGAGAACTAGAGGATCTTTAAGCCTACGTTCAGTGTGAGTAAAATACTTGAGTAGCTTACTGTTAAAATCAGATACTCTAACTTGGAATTGGTTTAATAAATTGATTTATAATATGTCGAACACATCTCTAGTCCCCCTGTGGTGAAAATCCAGCTTTTAATGTTGATTATATGTGGTGTTTTTAATATGCTTTAAGACAAATCATGTGTAAGGTCATAAGTCGACTGCAGTATTTTCTGCAGTGAACCAAAGACAGTCTCAAAAACACGGTTTGAAATCGCTGGTGTTTCTGACGTCACAAACGACCTTAACCAATCAGATCAACGTGTGAGCTGTGTGTGAGTGAGTAAAGGGGGGCTCATTTGCATATTCATAGAACCGCAAATTCTAAATGAGGCAAGGGTGTCGAGTTACATTCAAGATATTTTAAGGCAAAGGAAAAAATGTTTAAATATGCAATTTTGGTGATCAAAGATGAGTTTTAAGGGATAAAAGTATTGACTACAGGGGGGCTTTAAGAGAGGTTTACACTTCTGAGATTGCAGCTGTGGTAGAAAGCATGAACCTACGCTCTGTTTGGTGGGTCCTCTTTGGGTTTTGGTGTACGGACTGAACTTGGGTTTGGCTGGTTTGCCCGCCGCTCTGTCTTTATGGCGTCTGCTGCTGATGTGCTGATGAGCAGAAAGTGACACAGATGTGATGAGCTGACAGACACAGTTCACAGATTTTCTGACAACGCTTAATGTTATGTAACTTTTCAGATCAAATTAAAACACCATTTTCACTGCAGATTTTTGAATGAATTAAACAAAATCAAAATTCTCTATTATTTTTTTTCTGGGCAAAACAACTCATCAACCAATGAAATTCAACACTTTGAGTATCACTAACAATAGACAGCTATCACACATTTTTTTTCAACTCTTTATTCTATAATTTTTTACCCAACAACCATAAAATATTTAACATTATTAATAAAAATACATTATTTATAATATATATGTATATATATCTTTAATAAATGTTGTTTTTAAAAGAAGTATCTGCTCACGAAGGCTCAATTGATTAAAAAATATATATAAATTGACATTTTTTGGGGGGATAAAATAATTAATACTTTTATGCAGAAAGGGTGCATTAAATTGATCAAAAGTTACAGTACAGATATTTCAAATATAAAAAGGTACAAAACGGTTTTCAACATTGATATAAGTTTTCTGACCATCAAAATAATCATATTAGAGTGATTTCTGAAGGATCATGTGACACTAAAGGCTGGAGTAATGATGCTGAAAATCCAGCTTTGATCACAGGAATAAATTATATTTTAAAATATATTCACATAGAAAATAGCTATTTTAAATTAAAATAATATTTCACAATATTACGTTTTTTTTTTGTATTTTTAATCAAATAAATGCAGCCTTGGTGAGCAGAAGAGACTGTTGCGGATGCCAAGCGTTTGAACAGCAGCGTGTGTTTCCGCCCACCTGTTTTAGTTGCGTCTCTGAATTGACGCGCACGTCGCAGGTTTCACAGTGAAATGTCTTGTTCTGCAGGCCCGTGTCTGCTTTAGTGGGAGGAACCAGCTTGCTCTTCAGCCCAGTCCTCGGGAAGGACTTGATGGAGCCGATCCCGCTCCGAGCCTCCAGCATGGTTTTGTGTTTGGTGCCTGAGGAACAAAACATGGCAGGTTCAAAACATTCATCATCTTAATGATACACCGCCAGCCAGAGAAAACAAAACCGCGAGGGCTGGACGGGGTCTTTACTGACGATGCATCTCATTTCCATCTTGTGTTTTTGTGGCAAATATTGTTGAGCAGCTTAATAGCAGTCAAAAGAGACACTTGACTGAGTTTCTCGTCGATCTTAAAGGAGTAGTTCACTTTTAAAAAATACTTTTGCTGATAAGATGTCCATGTCTTTCTTTCTTCGGTCGAAAAGAAATGAAGGTTTTTGATGAAAACATTCATATAATGGACTTCAATGGGGTCCAAATGAGAGTTTCAGTGCAGCTTCAAAGGGCTTTAAACGACACCAGACGATGAATAAGGGTCTTATCTAGCGAAACGAGCGCTCATTTAAAAAATAAATAAAAAAGTTTAAGTTTTATAAGCTCAAATGCTCGACTTGCTCTGTTCTGTGATGCGCGTTCGTGGCTCTCGTTCATCAAAATGAACAAATCTTTTTTCGAGTCATGTCCCAGATAAGACCCTTATTCATCGTCTGGTGTCGTTTAAAGCTGCACTGAAACTCTCATTTGGACCTTGAACTGTTTGGTCCCCATTGAAGTCCATTATATGAATGTTTTCATCAAAAACCTTCATTTCTTTTCGACCGAAGAAAGAAAGACATGGACATCTTGGATGACATGGGGGTGAGTAAATGGCGTTTGCTTAAATACTTGAAATTAGATTATAATGCACATGTTTTCATTTCTGCACAAAACTAATGAAAAACATTGAAATAGATCCACTGGAAAAAAATAATGAATAACAAGCAGCCAATGTGACCGTCGGCTTTGGTTTCAGAAGTATTTTTATGATTCATTTTCTCCATAAGCATGTTTTAAAAAGTTCCAAACCATGAACCAAATCAAGCTGCTCCACATCACAACATTTATCTGGAGCAAAAAGGGTTTCGGAACGAGAATTGGGACGCAGCACCTGTGTCTGAGCAGGAACTGATCTCGCTATATTCTCACCGGTGTTGTGCGCGTCGAGTTGTGACACCGAGTTGACGGCCACCTTGCAGAGAGAACAGTAGAGCAGACGCAGGGCTTTCTCCTCCTCCGTCTCTGGACTCGTCCCGGTGTCGTTCTCCTCCGGCTCAGGCGGGTTGGGTGTTATGGAGAGGCCGTCCTCTCCCCCTGACACTGAGGAAGACTCCGGCTCTGAGGGGCCGGTCAGCGGGGCAGAAGAGGGCGATGAAGGGGACACAGGTGCAGGACTTCCACCTGTAAAGCACAAATCAGCTGCTATCAGTGAGTGTTTCAATGCTTTACAGTTTATACAGTGGCAGATGTAGTGAAAAACAAGCTGTTGATGTGTCTATGTGGTGTTTTTAATACGCTTAAACCATGTGTAAATTCATAAGTCGAGTATTTCCTCCTTAAAACTGCAGTGAACCAAAGACAGTCTCAAAAACACGCTTTGAAATCGCTGGTGTTTCTGACGTCACAAACCACCTTGTAACCAATCAGATCAACGTGTGATCGCCAACCATTGGATCACTGAGTGGAGGCGGGGCTCATTTGCATATTCATAGAACCACGAATTCTAAATGAGGCAAGGGTGTCGAGTTACATTCAAGATATTTTAAGGCGTGAAGAATTTTTTTCAAGGTAAAAATGTTTAAATATGCAATTTTGGTGATCACTGAGTGGAGGCGGGGCTCATTTGCATATTCATAGAACCGCGAATTCTAAATGAGGCAAGGGTGTCGAGTTACATTCAAGATATTTTAAGGCGTGAAGAATTTTTTTCAAGGAAAAAATGTGTAAATATGCAATTTTGGTGATCACTGAGTGGAGGCGGGGCTCATTTGCATATTCATAGAACCGCGAATTCTAAATGAGGCAAGGGTGTCAAGTTACAGTCAAGATATTTTAAGGCATGAAGAATTTTTTTCAAGGAAAAAATGTTTAAATATGCAATTTTGGTGATCACTGAGTGGACGCGGGGCTCATTTGCATATTCATAGAACCGCGAATTCTAAATGAGGCAAGGGTGTCAAGTTACATTCAAGATATTTTAAGGCATGAAGAATTTTTTTCAAGGAAAAAATGTTTAAATATGCAATTTTCGTGATCACTGAGTGGACGCGGGGCTCATTTGCATATTCATAGAACCGCGAATTCTAAATGAGGCAAGGGTGTCGAGTTACATTCAAGATATTTTAAGGCGTGAAGAATTTTTTTCATGGAAAAAGTTTTTAAATATGCAATTTTGGTGATCACTGAGTGGAGGCGGGGCTCATTTGCATATGCATAGAACCACGAATTCTAAATGAGGCAAGGGTGTCGAGTTACATTCAAGATATTTTATGGCGTGAAGAATTTTTTTCAAGGAAAAAATGTTTAAATATGCAATTTTGGTGATCACTGAGTGGAGGCGGAGCTCATTTGCATATTCATAGAACCGCTAATTCTAAATGAGGCAAGGGTGTCGAGTTACATTCAAGATATTTTAAGGCGTGAAGAATTTTTTTCAAGGAAAAAATGTGTAAATATGCAATTTTGGTGATCACTGAGTGGAGGCGGGGCTCATTTGCATATGCATAGAACCGCGAATTCTAAATGAGGCAAGGGTGTCGAGTTACATTCAAGATATTTTAAGGCGTGAAGAATTTTTTTCAAGGAAAAAATGTGTAAATATGCAATTTTGGTGATCACTGAGTGGAGGCGGGGCTCATTTGCATATTCATAGAACCGCGAATTCTAAATGAGGCAAGGGTGTCAAGTTACATTCAAGATATTTTAAGGCGTGAAGAATTTTTTTCAAGGAAAAAATTTTTAAATATGCAATTTTGGTGATCACTGAGTGGAGGCGGGGCTCATTTGCATATTCATAGAACCGCGAATTCTAAATGAGGCAAGGGTGTCGAGCTACATTCAAGTTATTTTAAGTCGTGAAGAATTTTTTTCAAAGAAAAAATGTTTAAATATGCAATTTTGGTGATCACTGGGTGGAGGCGGGGCTCATTTGCATATTCATAGAACCGCGAATACAAAATGAGGGTGTAGAGTTACACTCAAGCTGTTTTAAGGGGGAAAAAAGTTTAAATCTGTCATTTTGGTGATCAACGATGAGTTTTGAGGGATAAAATTATTGACTAGCCTACAATAATAAGTTAAACAACAAATTACAAACAAATAAGTTTTTGTTCAAACTGAAGCGCATTTGCACTGAATGCTAATACACGAGCACATTAATGCATCAGACGGCACTTTCTCTTTCTGAGTTTCCCCTCACTGTTGAACTCGCTTTGAATTTGAAGACTTCCTTTATTTATGCTGGAACATAACTGTGTCAAATCGTGAGATCGATGGTGCCACGCGCCAATATTAGCTAATGCGGTCGACATGGAAATGAATTGCACAGAATAAGATAAACTGCTGCTGATTTCCCCCAGATGAGCTCGGGCGCTCGGATCGATGTCTGAGGGGTCTGGACTCTTTGTACAGTAATAACACCGAGGCTCTCTTCATTTCAGACCCAGGGAACTCAATCGATACGGAATTATGTCGTTCTATTTCGGTGACCCGTTAAGTAGAGTCTCTTATTTTTCCCAGAGCTCCTCTCTGGACTGATGCTTTTCATCTGTAAAAGAAAAGAGGAAGGGACGCAGACGCTAAGATCAATTAGTCGTGCGCATGTAGTTTTGTTGTGTAAGTGATCATCCGTGTTGAAAGGCTCACCAGCTGGCTAAAGGAGATTAGCTTGTTGAGCTCTGGACTGGCAAAATTAGGGATTTCTCTCCCAGCAGAGAAGCATCATTGACCGTGACGGCTCGGCACCGAGAACTTCATTTACACTCCAGTCTGCATTAAATCTGCACGGACACTTCTTCAGCCGACTGTAGGACGAAACAAACCCAAAAGAGCTCTTCTCAAAGCTTTACGGATGAGCATTTGGGCCAAAATAAAAATAAACAAACCAGTCATAACAGCTGATTTCAACCAGTAAGACATCCACTGTTATATAGATTTCTCAGCAAACACTGTTATTTTAGTGTTCCTTATACATGATTATAGTAATTAGCTTTATATATATTTTTTACATTTCAGTTCTCATTTGGTTTAAGGTTTAGTATTTTTGTTATGTTATTTTTTTATATTATATTTCAGTCAGTATATATTTTTTTAAATCTATATTTAATGGTGTTTTACATGGTAAGAGCACATCATCTGGAAATAATTGTCCTGTCTAAAATAGAAGTGTGAATCACTGGTCATTTAACTAATTATGAATCAGATTCCACTTAATGACTCCAGTTTCATAATGATTCTGGTACTTTGAGGAAACCCTTGAGATATTTGTAATACAATTATACATTAAACAAATAAAACAATATTGAGGTCACATTTCAGACTATTTGAAATGTGATTGGGACCCAATAATGTCTTTTTAAAAGACTCATTTGTGTACCGAACTGTACTGTAAACTGTTTTTTCTTTTTTTGCTACAATCAGAGGATAATGCAATAGAAAGACATGCGTAATAACAATGCATAATAGTAGTTTTTTTTCTCTCACATTTAATTGAGGTTGATGAAAATTGACTGACAGTAAAATAAGCCCCTCCTTCTGAAAAGCACACTGTGCTCTGATTGGTCGGCTGGATCAGTGTGTTGTGATTGGTCGAGTGTGTTTGGGAAATGTCCCGCCCCTTACCATAACCTCCAGTTTAACACACTACTAACTAACTCAACCAGGCCCCGCCCCTTTATTCTGCATATTAATTATTATAATGAGGAATATTGTGACGTGGTAGAAACTCAAGACTACAATGGAGGCGTTTCAGGAGTTCAGAAACACTGATATAGAGAATAACTCAGCAACATTACACACTAAAGAGAGTCGAACATGGAAAAATGCATATATGTCCTCTTTAACCCTCAGGTGCTCTTCGTTTCGGAGTCACACTTGTTATCTTCCCGGTCAAAAGTGACCGGACACCTAAAAATGAAACTTTCTCCATCCCAGTAAAACCAATGCAATTTATTTTTGTTCTATAATATTTATTCTTTTTAATTTAGTATTTTGAGACAATTTAATTGAATTTATTAATATTTATGAAATATTTATGGTTTATTTTTGCCATGGAAAAATAGATGTATTTTTCTATATATTTTTTTTTCAAAAAAAAAATATTAATGCAGTATTTTAGTTTAATATAGAGTCTAGACCTTCAGAAAAAATATTTTTTTAAGAAAATTAGCACCATCTGGTTAAAGTATAGAGAAAAAGCATAGAATCATGGTGTAACCACTAGATGGCATGTACAGCTCTCTATGGAGAGGCATGTGAATTCCCCAGCTGTTTATGAACACATTTTTTTTGTTGTTGGTGGTGGTGGTGGATTTGAAAATATAGCTGAAACAATCTCAAAAACTATTTCTTATAAAAAAAAATTGACAAAAAACAAAAATTCACAATTTTTCCCCCCATTTTTTTTTTTTTACAATTTCCCTTTCATTTCCTATGGTCGGTCATTTTTGACCGAAGAGCACAAGTGTGACTATTTTTTTTACAACCACTTAGCTTGCTCAGATCATGGCCTCAATTTTTTGTGTGTTCACATACATAATGCCATAAAAGTCACCAAGTTTCGTAACATTGCGATGAAGCTGTGATTTTTAAAATTTCAAAACAGAAAATTTTTCGGTCAGAAATGACCAAAGAGCACCTGAGGGTTAAAAGAATTTAGGTCATATGAAGACGCGATTTAAACCGTCTCTGCTCAGAATTAATCAGTTTACTGCTGTTTGCTGTTTCTGGCGAGATTCACCTTGAAAGACGGATAAAGAACCGGCCGACTCTACTGTAAGCCAGACTCGGTGTGTGATCAATCTGAGCACCATTTGTGTGAGAAAATAAGTCATTAAAGTGTAATTTGAGAGAGTTCAGACTGCTTTGATTGTCTGTCAGTGTGTTGATGATCTACAGCCACGGTGCGCTGACCTGTGGGCCAAAACCAGGAGAAAGAGACACATAGAGACCATGAACGAAGGAAAACCACACAGAGATCAATAGTCCCTCATTAACGGGCAGAATGGCCTTGATCAATCTGCTCTCTGTTGGTCACAGAACTCCTCACTCCATTTCAATGGCAATAATCATGTGACACTTCTGGACACACTTAACTCCTGAATGGCATTGATGCAGGTGAAACTCGAAAAATTAGAATATCGTGCAAAAGTTCATTTATTTCAGTAATTCAAGTTAAAAGGTGA